GTTTCAAGAAATGGATTCAAGTATTGATTCCCAAGTTATCTGAACTGATCCGTACTGATGAAGAACGTTCTGTTGTGATGGCTTGCTTAGAAGCATATGCAGAGGTTTTGAAGGAGGCAGGAGCACCAGTTTTGGTTCCTCAGGGACATCTGGAGGCTATTATCAACTGTGTCAAGGATGTTATGCTGAAGAAGGTTACATAAATTTGACCATTAGTATTTATGTTCAGTCCTTTGGTATCCTGCGTTTTGTTACTGCAAATTATCACCTTCGTGCACACCTGAAAATTTAACAACCCTTTGCTAACACACCTAATTATGCTATTGCAAGATTCAGGTGTTCTGAAATGATTAGGGCTGTGCATTTGGTAGTTCTCCTTGTAGAATTATTGATCGTGTTAGCCTGTGATTGGTCAATATTCCTATTCTCATTATTTTATGAGAAATATGGGTTCTTGACAGAGCATGAGCACATAAGCATTACAGGGAACAAATTACTATGGCAAATGCAAACAATGGCTGATAGAGAGTGGGTGGGGAACTAGTATTGACTACCATGCCTTCTCTTAGACAGTCTTGATTGAAATTCTTGTAAGGTAGGATGCAATTAGTAAGTAGGTTGGTAGCCATTAGCAAGGTGCAGTTAGTAAGTATTTGGTAGCTCTTGTCAGCCGACTCATGCCTTCCTTTAATCAGAAAGTTGTTTTGGTTTATTAGTAATTTCAGCAATTATTTGTTTTGACCTCTAAATTTGGTATGCATTTGTTTTATTTCATAATCACCTTTTGTTATTGTGATAATGCGAAGAATGCCTGAATATTGATGTAGAAAAAGGATATGGATAAGAATGAATGATTTAACAGCACAATAAATGTCTGTGACAAGTTTTGATTATATCATCAGAAATGTATGTCATGGATTTAAACCATATATACTAGACAATTCACCATAACCTTGGATAATTCAACCCATTACCGCTGGTATATTTTGAAGCCGGCGACAACAAAATCGGCACGCGGGGCTGGCCCAGACTCTGCCCACTGCTGCGTTGAAGCACGAGCCCTGATACAGCATTGCACTGGCAGGATGCATGGCAATGGCAATGTTGACAGTAAACACAGCTGCTGGAGCTTTTTTGGAAGCCTCCCTATCTTGTATCTATTTTTTTTACACTTTCACCAGATGTATTGATACAGTGGTATTAAAACATAGCTTTGGAAATGTAGAAGAATGAGGAATTTAGGTGCTGTAAAATTGGAGCAACAGATTACATTGTCAGGTGAATCCTCAACTGATTTTTGGTATATGATTTGTCTTGCAATCTTGCTGACATATATTTTTGATGACATAATTGAAATGCATCAAACTAGGTTTACTTGAGTGCCACTCTGACACTCGTGTGGCTTGTAGGCTGGCACACACAAACACTCTTGGGCGGTGTTATAACTCCTTGCCTTTTCTTTGCAATGTTATTATCTTTAGCTTTTTTGACATTTTCCAATGTGTATATTTTTCATATGTTGCATCTAGATGGTAATATTGTTTTCCTTGCATAGATTCCATATCTTTTGGTAGTTCATAACTCAGTGTAATGATGATAACAATAAGTAGCAATTCATTATTTGTCATTTTATTTTTTTCATATTAAATTTTCTGTAACACAACCTGTGCTGCTGGCTTGGTAGAAATAGGATCCTGAGCACAGAAACAGGTTTCTTGGAGCTGGCTCTTCCAGTGGCTCATGGATGGTACATTTTACTCAATTATCAATGGAAACAATGCAAAATCCTCTTTCTTAAATGCCCACTAAGTCTAATCACCCTCAAAGAGCTTTGTGCAGATTTTGCGAGTCATTGCCATCACCCCTGGCCCTTAGCCAATTTTTTTCTTGGGAGCATGTTCATATCGCCTCCCCTAAGCAGTAGTTCCTGGACTACTGCTGTTTGTGCAATAGATGGCCAAAAATCAGCTTTCTAGAAATTTTCTTTATTTATATAGAATCCAAGAGATACATGCAGAGCACTAGATAGTGCAAATAAATAAAATGATAATGGTTCAGTTCAGGTGATTGTACTACATCACAAAAGGTCACATCGTTTAGTCAGAATGAAGCTGGGTGTGGGCAGGAGACGAGCAACAGGGAAGCGGATTGTATGATCAGGAAGGGTATCAGAGGAGGCAGAAAGGCGTCGGTGATGATGCAGCCACTTGGTTCATTGGATTTTAGCCTGGCTTGGCAACTGAGAGTATATAAATTATGGTTATTAACTTCATTTTTCAGACAATGTGTCAAGACATGGCAGATGAAGCTGGTAGTGAAGATGAAGGTGAAGCAGAACATGATGAAATGCTGGTGGAATATGCTGGTGAAGTTGTACCAAGTCTGGGGAAGGCTATGCCACAGGCAGAATTTGCAACACAATTTGCTCAGTTGCTTCCTCTCTTTGCCAATAAAACCGTAAGTTTTGTCAAATATTGTGCTTCATGTTCTGCATGTATTTGATGAATATATTTAATATTTTCAGAAAGAGTTGCAGTGTTAGCAAGAGATAATTCAGATTAGGATCATGAGCAGATGATGTAGAAGCTGAAGACTAGGCTTTTTGTATTTTGTAAATGATAATGGAAGGATCTAGTAATAGCACTAAGTATTTTTATATTTTCAGAAAAAGAGTTGCAGTGTTGCTGAGAGATCATTTAGCTTAGGAACATTAGCAGAAGCAGTAGAAGCTCTAGGCTCAGCCAGTGGACAGTTTGTGCCCCAGTTGCTACCCCTGTTTCAGCAAGGTGCTGCTGATGAAGATGATGAAGTTCGTTCTAATGCAATCTATGGTCTGGGAGTGCTTGGCCAACATGGTATGCATTAAGATTGCATGTTATTATATATCAAACCAAATTTATATGCATGCATACAAACAATCATACATACTGTTCAGTATTTATGGAATGGGAATGATATAATGATTTATAAAGAACAGAAAGAAAGATGTATTACTAAAGTATTATCATCTCCTTTTTTTCTACCATTAGGTGGTGAAGCCATAACTGGACATTACAACAACATTCTCGCAACCTTGTCTGCAGCTCTTAGTAAAGAGACTTTTCCCAGAGCTTTAGACAATATTTGTGGGGCTGTTGCTAGACTTATTTCAACAAGCCCAAGTAATGTACCCCTAGAGCAGGTAAGTTGGTAAATTTGTGTACATGTGACTTGTTTGATTATTTCTGTCAGTTCTTCTCATGTAAATCCCACCCCTGGTGGCTTTATGTACAAAGTTATGAAAAGATTGGAGTTTCCAACCAAATTTGAAAGGCTGGATCTCTGTGCCTTCTCTGTAGTGTTTAACATAGTCATGAAAAACAAAAACAAAACCACTCAAAGCTTCAAGGCAGTCTTGCCACCCAGGCTCACTAAAAATTTGGCCATCATATATATATGTGCGAGTGTGAATGTGAGTGAGTGAGTTTGATTATGTGAGAGTGAGTGTGATTGTGTGAGAGAGAATGTGAGAATGTGTGTATATGTGCGTGTGCATGTGTGTGTGCACACGCATATGTCTTTTTTGTTTATCATAGAAACTCATTGTGTGATATATCACATGGATATATTTTAAGAACACTTTTTCTTGCATAGGTGTTCCCTGTGGTTTTGGGTTGTCTACCTCTGAGGGAGGATTTTGCTGAGAATCCAACTGTTTTTGAGTGCTTCCTGGTGCTGTATCGCATGCAGCACCCATTATTGGCACAGAACCTGGTTCCCATCTTGAGACTTGCTGCACTGATCTACACTACAAAGCAAGCTGATGATAGTTAGTACTTTATTATTTACTTTACATAATCATAAGACAAATATAGGCATTTGAGATGGATAGTAGAAAAATCATGTTTATAGTAACTGTTGTAGCATTTAGTATATCATATATGATCCAGATGATTTGACTGACCACCATGTCATAAAACAATTTAGCTGGAGGGAGGATGACATGAACATGTCATCATGGGAAAATTTGTCTGAGGGCAGGTGTGTGAATTTATCATGAGAATTTTGGTTTAAGACCAGGATAACAGAAATGACATGCCACAAGTTCATCCCTGTTACCCTGAATGCACAAAGTGCTTGGAGGGTGATTAGACTCGGTAGGCATTTAGGAAGGGCCTTTTGCATTTTTTTCATTGCTAAATGAGTGTAGAATATACCATCCATGACTGGAAGAGTGCTGGCTCCAGGTTGGACACTTATTCCCATACTTATCTTATTCCTGTGACAGATGGCACAGGTATTAAAGTGAAGTATCTGGATCTGAAAGGTTAACAGTAAAATAAGAAATTCTACTAATAGTTATTATGCACTTGTGAAATTTTTATTTTTTTCTTGCTATCTGATATATTGTTTTAATCAGTTATTTAGATATTTTAAATATTTTTTTTATAGTTTTCGGGTTAAGATATGAAAATATGTATATTTATACTTCATGATTATTTTCAGAGACAAACCAGCTTATCCAGGAGTTTGTGGCAAGTGTCAATAGGGATTTCCCAGATCAAGTTTCTTCCCTTGCACAAAATTTGGAACCTGAACTAAAAGCAAGACTAGAGGCTGCAGCTGCTGCAGGTGCCACCCTTGTTGCATCACCCCCAACTTAAATGCTGATGAACACCTCCAACCATTTTCTCCCTAATTATTAAAATTAATGCTGTTAGATTCTAACACATCTCAGCTGTGTTAGGGTTTAAGAAGAATTTAGCTATACTTACCATGTTCAGTCTAGCTTTTGTGCTTTTGTATTTGGTATTGCTTATAGAAAAGAACTGCAACCCATGTCAACCATATGAGCTTGAAGAGTTGTTTCTACTATTGGGCATCAATCTTACAAATTTGCAATGATTATAGTAGCTGTTAATACTCCAGGTATGTTAAATAATGCATGGGAGAGTGAAAAGCGACACAGTAACCTCTTCAGCATACACTGGTGTTGGTCCATACAACTGAGTTTTTTCTTCATTCAGGAAAAAAATAGGGAAATGGATGGTACACACTTCTGTTTCCCTGGAACAGTGTAATAATATTTGTCCAAACAGAAATTTATTTTGGTTCTTTTCTTTTCTTTTCTTTCATTTTCTTCCTGCCATGATGTTTGGACAGCAAGTATGATTTTTTAAACTAATAATTTAAAGTGTTATTGAAGTGTGACAGCCTACCAAATGTCCAAGTAACCAGATATTAGATTATGAAATAGTTTGGTGTGACAACACTACTTAAGGTTAATTTATAATGCACATCACTTATATATAATATGTATGGATCAAAATTAAGCATGTTGATTTTTGATCTGCACGAGAAGAATTGTGTCCATAGTTGCAGGTGTTTTGAACAGAATAGTGAAATAGTAAGATGTACTTGAAAAGTCTTCTCTTTGTTGTAAAGGGGAAAGTTATGCAGCTATGAGGTTGTTGTTTTATTGTGCAATTCTAGTTTAGAACTATATGTACAACATTAATTCAGTATAGTTTTGCCTGTTGACAGAGTATTATATTTTATTTTAACTTGAAGAAGCTTCCATGTTGGTTAAATTATCAAAGTTTAGGTAATGAAGTTAGGTTGCAAGTATACTGTTCAAAAGTAGAAGCAGTATATGGGATGCAGAATAAAATATTTGTTACATATCTTAAAGACTAGTTCTTTATTTTTGACAGTAGTAAAATGTTGGAAAACATTACTTTACAGTAATGCATATTTTGTTATTTACAGACTCCTGTGGGAGAATCTTGTCTAAGATCAAATTATTTAGAATTCAACCAGTGTGTTCATTCAGGAAGCTGCTTGTGTGGAGGGTAGGGCACTCAATTTTGGGTGCTGATAAATAGTTACATGTGATACTTGTGAAGTGCTCTATTTTTGACATTCAAAATAACTTGGTGGCCAGCATATAGATTAAAAGAGATCTGTCCCATGTTAAGCTAAGGTTTAATGTATACGTCGCTCATGTGCGTGTAGTTTGTCTTTCAGAAGTTAGAGAAAGTACACTTTCAAGATTTTTTTAATAAATGTCCTGGGAAAACTCTCCTTGTTTTGGAATGGGTACAATTTCTACTTTTATAATATAAATAATACATAGTAAGTTAAGGTTAAGATTAGTCTTGCTCAGACATTTTTTGGTATGATTATTATAGCAGAAAGTAATGGATGATTTGATTGGTAAAATTATTGATTTAAGTAACAGATTCTTTCGAAATTAAAAACAGATGACAAAATTTGAATCTTGAAAGTATATTTTCATGAAGACCATACAAGAAAAAAAATGTTGCAGCTTTAATATCTAAATTTTGTTCTGCAAATACTACCCGACAGAGCAATTATGGTGACAGAATGAGTAATTAGTAGAGTGCTTACATCTTGACTTCCTTCCAGTAATAAAATTTTTAACAGGAGGTTCAGTTGAAATCTCAAATCTTGTTGATATTTCAGTGGTACGCATTATGATTCTAGTCTCCTGTTTCAAGGACTTGCAATATTTGTAATTTGATGCATTTTGTAATCTGAGAGAGATAGCAAGTTATGAGATTTGGAGTAGTATATTCTCAATGTATCTTTCCACATTTGTATGCTTTTAGTTAGAACATATACTATTTTTGTACAATGTTAAGTGCCTTGTATAAGTCTGATGCAATGACATTGTCAGCTTAACTTGGTTTCTTAAGAAGTGGGATGCTGATGAAATAAATGCCTTGCTGTTTGGTTGTATTTCATTTTTCATCAAGGGATCACAAACACAAATTGAAGAAGTTATTTATTGTATAAAATTCTGTACAAGAATAAATGACTGGGTTGTTTCCCATGCTTTCCTTTTTTCTTCTTTTTTTCAGTGAAAGACCAGGGTTTCTTGATGTCCTATTGAAAGTAGACATGACAGTTGTAGGTAAACTGAAATTTGCTCTGCAGTTCCTGGCAAATTTTCTACTGACAATTTATTTATGCTCAAACTATATATATTGGCTAGCAGTACCAAAGTTATTTTGTAATGAAAGATTACAAGTGGACATAATTCTTACATACAATGGACATAGGTCTTTGCACCTTTGCAAAAAGAATTATCATAGAAGATTTATCTGGGAAGCTGTGTGTGCATCTAAATTTCAAAAAGGTTTCCTGAGGTCTCTTAATATTATTACAGTACAAGTTCAAAGTAATCCAGATCTAAACAGCTAGGGCCCTGAAGAAAAGCATTGAACTTCATGCTGCTGAATATTAATGCCATTGGAACTTATACACAAAATCAAAAATTTAGACCAGTCTTTTGTGAATCACTTTTATATCCTCATAGGTATTAAATGTTTATATTCCTGTCAGTGAAATAAACTGAGAATTCTATAGGCTTAAAGCATATTCTTCCAGTAAGATGCTAAGGTGCATTCACTAATATAAATTTTAATTCCAACACTTCCTGAAGTTTTTCTTATTTTCTTCAATCAATTTCCAAGACTGAAAATAATTGCGATGTCAATATTTTCTTAATGCAATGTACCTTCAGATTCACACCATCTTAATTGATGCTAGTTTCAAATAGAATAATGGCACTTATAATAGCGTCATGTTCACTAACATATCAATCACTCGGCACAGTATGTTCAAGGTTGAAGAAATACAGAATGTTTCATTACTGAAAAAGCACACCTAGAAAACAAAATCTGGACTTTTTTTTTTTTTTTTTTTGGCCATGATTTTAATTTGTCAATTTCAGTTTAGGAATAAAGTTATTGTTTTGTTCTAATTTAGTCCTTATCTGACATGGAAGCCAAAAATAAGTTGTGTGCACCCACACAGCAGTGTCATAGTAAACAATCATCTCTATAAACTGATCACTTGTTAAATTATGAATTATTGTATGGATACCACTAGTCTTAGAACATTGTTTCTTTGTAGTTTTACAACTTTTATTCCTTAGTTCTGACCCAATATTTTAGACATCAATTTGGCAAACCTTAACACTGCAGGAAGATCTATACTTACACTAAGATATGATAAAATGAAATTTAATCTGTATTGTACATACATTCACAGATGGAAAATTGCAAACAATTAAGGAGTGAATATTGATATTTATAGCTATAGTAATATAAATCATCTCCCTCCCATATCTTGACTCTGCAAACAGCAGATACAAGTCTACACAGCTCTACTAATGAACAGGCACATCTTGAGTTATAATTTACAAGAGAAAGGAATGCCACAATAGAAAATCAGCAATAAGAAGCAATAAGCACTGGAGCTTTTGCCATTTAAGAAGTCTACCCTAATTTCTTGCACATTTGTAACATTACTGTAAGGATGCAAAGATTTTTAACATATTCTGCTAAATGCTGTGATTTACAGAAAAAAAATAACCTCATTAACTTGGAACTGAAAAATATTTGGGGAGATAAATTTTAATATCGAAATTTTAAAAACTAGGAAAAACTTCTTTGGCAGCAACTGAAAAATGCCCAGGGCTTTGCAAATCCAGTATATGGCAGGGGAACGCTGACAGAACAAAGAAGGATAAGGTTTAAAACTGGCCACACTGATCAAGTATAAATATACACTGTACAACTAAAACCACCAAACACTTGTAGGAAGAAAAATACAAGGAAATTATATATATATATAAAAAAAAAAAAAGTTTAGAATGTATCAGAATGGTCCCTGCTTCCTTCTGTTAACTACCTCCTGCCTGTATCTAGAATTCATATTAAATCCAAGTCATCATGAATATCAGATATACTTAGAAGTTCCAAATCATACAGAACACATTTCTACAAGCAAACTTCAAATATATTCTTGCAAATGAAGATAATAAGCTATGATGAAAAAGGAAATGACAAACTTTGGCATTCTGTTGCCTGTGTAATAAAATATTTCTACAGATAAAAGCTTTCAGAATAAAAGTCATACCATAAGGAGAAACTCATATCAAGGTTTATCTGTTCTTAGCTAAATAACTAAGACCAACAACTCCAAGAATAATTAGTCTCCATGTCACTCGGTTGAGCTAATGCAGTGAAGCATTCACGTCTTCACAACTACATTTGTGACAAATACAGTGTAAAATGTCAGAGGTACATCACTGCTGTTACACATTTAAAAGGTAAACACAATTAAGGACTCAAGACATGTTTTCTGGTTGCCACATGCTGCTGTCTTAAAATTAAAATGCTAGCTTCAATATTCCACTCAGAAATCACATCCAACATGAAAAAGAAATGTAATAAAGACAGAAAACAATTCATTCTTCATAATACATACATACACTTTCAGGAAGAAATAATCACGATTGTCACTCAAAGAAGCAGTACATCTGACTGGTAAACATGCCCACAACACCAACAGTAATCACTGGCCCAAATAACACATGGCACACAATTAAAGTCCATACAATTTGTGCACATTTCCAAGGAAAGAAAACTACATAGCTGGAGAAAAAGTAGGTACCGTGTACCATTGTGCAATGTGGCTGGAGTCCAATTGTGCACACCAATTTCTAGCTGAATTAAACATTTAATCATGTCTTTATGTTTGCAATTTCAATTTCAGCTCATTCAGAAAAATATAAACTGGCTATTGTGTCCAAGCAGTATAATAATACTTTGGTGTGAACTTTCCACAGGGGAATGTAATGGGCAGGGACAATAGCCAGGTTTTCATGCCCCTCTGGCTCATCTGAGCATGAGGCTTCAAGTATATGGCTTGCTAACAACCACCCGTGTATTTACAGTAGATCATCCTTTAGAAGAGCCCACAGTCCTTGAGGTTGTGTTTGATGATTACATCTGTTACAGCATCAAACACAAACTGGAAAAATTAAAAAATATCAAGATGTAAAAAAGTAAATCATCATTTACAATGTTGTATTTACATCATAGCTCTAAACTTCCTTTCATATCTTCTTTTGTCTATTTTAGGCTGTTTTCAAATAAAATTTTTAGTAATATGTTTTCATTTTCTACAAGAAATTTTATATTTGAAAGTATATGATACCAATATCCCAATTCTTACCTGTATGTTGGTAGTGTCAGTTGCACACGTAAAATGAGTGTAAATTTCTTTCTGGTCCTTCCTCTTGTTAAGATTCTCAAATTTCATGCGAATATAATTTGCTGCCTCATCATAGTTATTGGTCCCTGTTTGAGTAAAATATTCACAAGTGTTTATATCAAGGGTACTTCACTGATAACAACATTAAGGAGCTATCTTCATCAAAGAAACATTTTTATAGGCATTATTACAGTTCTTTCTCATTCTTATTTCTCTACTCTAACTCTACATACCTAACAATTCCTTATTTAACTTAAAAAAAAAAACATTTAAAAGTAACTTTCCTGGCAGACAGGATCAAAATATTAAATGCAAAAGCTTTTGAGAAATATTTAGCTGGATCAAAACCTTACCTGTGTATTCTGGGAAGCAAATTGTTAGTGGAGATTTTGTAATTTTCTCTTCAAACAAATCCTTTTTATTAAGGAAGAGAATTATTGAGGTCTCCACAAACCATTTGTTGTTACAGATGGAGTCAAAGAGCTTCATGCTTTCTATCATACGATTCATCTCTTCGTCTTCAGCCAATACTAAATCATAACCTGTAAGTCAAACATGAGATTTAATAACCAATTCCACCATACCAGATGGTTTGCAATCTAGCAAAAGGAAGAAAAATTTAAACTGTCTCATAAAACTTCTGGATAAACATAACAAAAAAGCAAAAACTCTACAAGAAAAAGTATTAACAATACTCTCTTAAACCATTTAGAATACTCTCTGAACTTATTCATATGGCCTTGTGTTTACTAAAATTTATTGACAATATATTTACTGCTTTCATTTTCAAGTACGTAATTACTGGACCTAATGAAAAATTACATTAAATTAGCTTCTGACTTCTAATTACCTGATAAAGCTACCACAAAGATAATAGCTGTGACTCCTTCAAAGCAATGGATCCATTTCTTCCTTTCTGACCTCTGACCACCAACATCAAATAACCTGAAAATTGTCATTTAGTGCATTATTCATATGGGCAATGCTAAATACATGAGGTTAGTATCATTTCCAAATCAATTACATTATTTTTCAAATGACTGGTAACATGAATAATAATCCATACTTGAAATTGAGATCCTTGAAGGAGAAATTGGTTTCAACAATTCCTGTGGTTTTCACTCTGGTGCGCAGTACATCTTGTTGAGTTGGAACATAGCCTGGGCGAGAAATGCGATCTAGGGCATTGAGATAGTATGCTGCTGAGTCATTCAGTTGATATTCCCTTGATCGGCTGCCAAAGAGAGTGGGAGAAGGAAAATATCCAGAAATCAATGGGAGAAATAAAATATGTTCACAGTACACTTATACATACATTAAATATGGCAGAGCACAGAGCATTCTATTCATATAGTTGGCAGTTGAAATTCAAGGACGAAATTATTAAAACAAGAAGGAAAAAACATATTTAGTTTTTTTTTTTTAATATGAAAGAGGAAGTGGAAACCAGCACACTGGCAATTCCCTGAGAAAGTTTTATTATGAAATTTACATTATAGATGTGTCTATTATTACTTTAACAATGTGAGATGATACATTACATGCATAGTAATGCTTTTATCATGTATTTAATGTATCAATGTTTTGCTAGAACTTTGGATATTGTCAATCTACTTGTCTGCTTGAATAAAATTTTATAAAATCTGCCAAATCCTTGAACCTACTACTATGAAGTGAACTATTTTCAGAAATCCATGAGTTTTCAATATCTGTTTTCTTCTATCCCTGACTTTTCTCTTTCATTCATTGTCAATCTGGTCAATATGCCTAGGCATAGGAAAGGTTATTATCAAAACAAAAACAATAGTATTTGACAGAAAAAACAACAATACAGCAGTTAGCAAATACTTCAAATGCTGTTGATTCATGATAATGCAGTTGTTGCATATTATTGTGCATATACTGCTTTGTAATGCTGACCAAAAAACAGCTATTTGCAGTGTGCAAGGAAAATAAAAAGGAATGTCACACACAGAGAAAATGTCACATAATAATGGACAGCAAGAGGAGCCTTGTGTGTTCTTCAATTCATTTATCCAATTTTATCAAAAAGACTGTTTTACTCAATCAGATATACTCTTGCATTGTGAAGTAATTCATTACCAATTCAATTTTTTACTTTTTCTTTTCTTCACATTTCCTTTCATTACTCATTTATTTCTACAAGAAACCACCTTTCGGAAAGACAATCATCTCTTGACTTAAAAGTGAAGCATCAAAATTTGAGTTCTGACTACATACACAACTGGCATGCAAGAAACCAATATGATACCAATATGCTTCAACATCAGCTCATAGGGTACTAAACCAAAAGCTCTTCGCATAATGCTCAGAACATTAGGCAAGGATTATCTCCATACAAAAATCAATCAAATAAGGGTTACCTTGTAATGAAATAAAATTATATATATCACCTCCATATTTATGAAATACATATGTATAAATATCTTTAATTCTAAATCTTACCATTATCAGATGAAAATCCCAAAAGCTTCATAAAGACAAAGAGATAAAGTGTCTGTCAGACAAAATTTAGAAGGAAACAGTGAGGAAGCATTAAAGCGGAAAAAGGTGAAAGAAACTAAGTGAAAAAGAAGAGAGAAAGAGAGAAAGAGAGAAAGAGAGAGAGAGAGAGAGAGAGAGAGAGAGAGAGAGAGAGAGAGAGAGAGAGAGAGAGAGAGAGAGAGAGAGAGAGAGAGAGAGAGAGAGAGAGAGAGAGAGAGAAGAGAGAGAGAGAGAGAGAGAGAGAGAGAGAAGAGAGAGAAGAGAGAGAGAAGAGAGAGAGAGAGAAGAGAGAGGAAGAGAAGAGAGAAGAGAAGAGAGAGA